ATATCTTTTTGTGAAACTGCCAAAACTCATTCTACTTGCCGTATCAATGGCAGGATATTTCTTAATACAATGAAAGGTTGAAACAAATTTCAAATATTTATGAAAAAAGGCTTAATGATAATCCGTATAAACGTGCACGGTATTTGAATAAAATGCCATCTTCGAAGGTAATCCCTAAATTGGAACATTGTGTTTGAGTTTTTCCTTGTACTTCTTCAACCGGCTCGACATATCGAGAGAAGAAGACCCTATGAAAATAAAAACGCAGAGTGAACCTGCTTGCAAGCTACAAATAAAAAATTCCGCATTATCTTTCTACTTTCCCGCTCAGTGGAAAATAACAGGTGCTCAAATTGTCTCTATTCGAGACAACAGGTGGCGACTAAAACGATAGAATATCAACCAACTTTTCTCGTCAGTCTAGCGATAGCAAAAGCGGAACCTAGGTACAGGTACTGCACTTTTATCTGCTTCTTTAATACTACTGCTCGAAGGGACTCAGAGGAAGTGACGACTGATATCCCCTCTCCCTTTTCTATCCTTTCCGCTTCCGGCCCGCTTTCTCCCATATCACGAAGGGTACCTTTTCCTGTAGTTTTTTTAAATTAGGCTTTTGGGGGGTCTACTTTTTCCCATCGTCTGTGTGAATTAGATTTTTGCGGGGCCTAAGAAAATTAGAATGCTTCTCTATTTAAAAATTTGTTCCTGAAATGGACCATTCATTGCGCTTGTCTATCAAGTGGCTGAAGAAGTGAGAGTCACAAAAGGAAATATCATATCGTTTCTTATTTGTTGTTTGCTGTGAATATATCTGTCTCTGGAAAAGCAAACTATACAGCCTGCGCTAAATGTTTATTCAATAACGGGATTTTCCGCGTTGTTTAGCCTGTACAGACACCCCCTCTCCACAGAAAAATGAATCGGGAAGAGGGACTCTCTTCTGAGGGGGGGGGGGTTCGTCTTTACACCGACGGCTATTTCACGTTTAACAGGAGTCGATTACTGTTTAATGAAGACGTAACCGCACAAGACTACAAATTTCTTTTTTCTGAACTTCCATACAAACATTAACTAAAGAATTCAACTCCGGAAAAATCCGCCATTTTTCTATTTGACAAGTGGAATTATCGCGATAAAAAAAACAAAAACAAAACAAAAACAAAAAAAAAACAAAAAGAAAAAAACAACGGATAATTTTGTATTGATAATTGAAACGTTTAATACAGCTATCAACGCACATTTAAAACTGCTTTCTAGTTCGGTGACCTGCCAGCTATGTTATCTGTCAAGTCACCAAGAGATAAAAGCTTAACATTTCAAAACATGTCTCAAAGTCATAGAGGTTATTATTTATCGGCTTCACTGATCCTTTTGATGTTGCCGGGTTATACCTGAGGCCAATTTTTGCGAATCATGTCTGTATATCCGTACCCTGGCTCCAGAGGTCCGTTCTCAAAATACCTATTATGAAATAGACCGTATTTACGGTTTAATAAGGTTTTTCTCTTCGTTGACGCGGCTTCGCCTCTGGAACCCAGGGTACAGTGTATCCGACGCGGTTTTGGACAATGGCTCTTCATTGCTGATTGTCGTGGAATTATTAGAACCAACTGGAGTTAAGATCTATTCACTGCAAAAAAAATATACGTGTGACAGTTTGCAGTTTAATTTATAATTATGATTGGGAAAAACCAACCCGGCCTTAATTCGGTATGGTGTTGATATTTTGTGATGCCGACTTTACAAGCAGACCATGTCAATGTATAGGCATTTATAAAAGATCATAAGCAATGAATAAACTACGTTTTGTTCTATCGAGACAAGTGACTTTTAACATGCGCATTGTATGAAGTAAAAGAAAAGATCAAAAAAGAGAAAAAAGCCTGCAGAAAGTTCAGCGCCGAAAAGGTGAAATTTATGTATATCAGTTACATTTTTTCCCCTAGAAACACAATTCTTGCTTTACGATCACACATTATTTTGAGCCAGATCATGATCTTTCTAGATTCATTTGTAGGTTTTTTGGATTAAGATGTTTCGATGTTGCTTTACAAAAGGGCTGAGTTGCACGGTTTCCGCTTTGGATAATTCGTTGTTGATATCGCCCCATGTAAGGTAATCCAGGAAAGTCTCGGATTCTGGATTCCACCCTGTGGATTCCGGATTCCGAGTACTGGATTCCGGATTCCAGCTCAGTGGATTCCGGATTCCAAAAAGGGCTGGATTCCAAATCTTTTTCTGTTTTAATGCATTTCTTCGCATTTCGTTTTGGTGTTCGAATCTTGCTACATTGAAAGACGTTGTTTAGAATGCATAACAAGTTTGTTTTCTTTTTCGATTTACAAATTACGTGAAGAAATGTTTTACTGTTCCGTAAGGGTTTAAGGTATAATAATGAGGGGGACATTGGGGGACTGTCCACACCGCAACACCGCGGAAAAAAATAGCAAACATCGCATCACCGCAAAAAAACGTGGCGAAACACAGACATCGCAATTTTAAATTTTGTCCTTCGATTAATCTAGTCCAAATCTCCATATGATTAGGGAGCGAGGATCTCAGAGCTGGTTTAGTGATTAGTAGAGAGTGAGACTGACCTCAACACTCTATTTTTCACTTACTCTATTTTTGCGAACTCTATTCTCAGTCATGCAGATAGAAAAATGCCTAATTAGCAGAAATAAAAGAACTCTTGCAAACCATTCCTAAATATTCACGTTTATTCATTTGATTGCTGCATAATAAAGTACTGGGAAAACGTACAGTCATTGCCAGGGAAAACCGAGCTGCAATTTGTATGAAAACGGCCTAACAAAGTTCGTGCGTAACTCCAAATCAATTTTTCCTATCTATGCCATATCATAAACCAGCGAAGGTTAATCAAGTCTTTTGCTATCCACCAATAATATAATAGAAGGTTAATTTTGTTTGTATGTCGTTACATTCGTAGTTTTCCTTGTCCTGTCCGAACGCCTGGGACAGGCTACGTAGAAACATGTTTGCAAATTCTTTTGGAGCATTAAAACAGTATTTCGAAGTAATAGAACTGAACAAAACGTTAAAAGCCGCCAATCGCTAATCACCTCCAAACTATCACGAAGAAAAGCTTGGTTTCTTAACATGTTTTTGGACATTGTTTTTCCTTCTCTTTCTACTTTTTATTGGAATCATTGTCATAGCGCAAAAAACTAAATTCGGTTACCACCTCTTTTGTAAAACTTTCATTTATAGAGACACAGTAAGCTGTAGAACACGCGCATTAGATATCACTTATTAACTGAATTGCTTTCACACTTTCTCATATGACTCGTAAGACACGAATTTTAGGCAAATACAATAAAATACACTTCTCCTACTACGGGATAAGCATATATACTCAGTAAAAGATTGACAATTAAAAAGAGCACTACAGAAGATTAAATTGGACTTCAAGCTGACAAAAGTGGTGTCCCGGTCAGCGCGGCCCTAAAGTGACTAAAGTTGACTGTGTCACATAATTGTCTAAGAATGATAACATGGCTCAAAAAAAAATTTCAGACAGTGGCCGGACCACGTTGATCCACCAAATAAATTTTTACGCTGTCACGTCTCGACGTTTTTGACTGGTCAAAATAAAGAAAAAAGTTAACCCTTGAGAGTCTGCAAGCCCAAAACTATCAGTTACTTGGTCTAGTCGTTGCTGAACCATTTAAATCGAGTTCAAAAAGTGGCTTAATAGACAAAACGGCTCAAAACGTAGTCAAAGATAGCCTGATTTGCCCGCGTTCAATCAAAACTGTAGAGCTGAACTTGTTTGTTCTTCATTGACTTACGCATGCAGGAGCAAACCACCCCCTCCCCCCTCGCCCTAGAGGTCAATGAAACCCAGATCTCTTGTTGACGAAGCCAAAGGCGAGATCTGGCCCCAGTTGTCGCGTTGAATTTGATGTTAAAAAGATAAAAAAGAACACAAAAATTGGTTCATACCATAGTTTATCGAGTGGAATGGTTATGAAACCCGTCAGACTCCTTTGTTATATGTTTTTGTGGACCTGAAAGTGCACAACGTTCAAAAGAATTCCTATCATTTTGATTGTATTGACCAATAAAAACGTTGCATTAATTTTTTCCGTAACAATTTGCCAACAGAAAACAAAGGATTGTGCACTTTCAGGGTACTTCCAACATAAACTGCAGCACTGTTGTTTTTATCATTGATGTTTGCCGCTTTTCATAACCAGTCTCCTCTAATAACTATGTTCATACTTAAGATGTGCGCATAACCACGTTTTGATAGAAAAAACTTCACGGCTCTATCAAATTCGTTGTTTAACACGTCCAAAATCGAGGATTAATTTAAAGCATGCGCTCTTTCATGGCCTGTCACATTCCTGACAGGCAATCACGGGTACAAAATCGGATTTGACGAGATCTCACCTTTGGCTTCATCAATAAGTAAGAGATCTGGGTCGCCCCATGTAAGGTAATCCAAGAGAGTCTTGGATTCCGGATTCCACGCTGTGGATTCCGGATTCCATACCTGTGGATTCCGGATTCCACATCCGTGGATTCCGGATTCCATAAGTGGCTGGATTCCAGATTTCAAAATTCTATTTTCTGGTTTTCAACGTTTCCTTTGTACTTTGTTTTCACCAAAAAAGCTTGTTCTTTTTTTACCCGAAGTGTACATTGTCTTATATAAAATATAAGTATAAAATATAATTCTTGGCCTTACCCGAGAGGATTATGAATAGAGGAGCGGTTTCTGAAGTCCACTGAGTCCACATCGTTGAAGAAATACTAACGAGGAAGGGCTATTCTTATTTTAATAATAACAACGGCGTCAACAATAACAAGAGGTACACATTGCCAAAATCAGTGCTTTTCAGGTTCAAACATAATTCGTCTCCGAATTGTTTAATTGCCACACAGAAATGTAAAACTTCAGTTACAGCTTACCAACAAATAGCGTGAAGATAGTCCAATTACTATACTACAAGCTACGCAGGCAACGGAAACGTTTATCTTAGAATAAACCGTGTCGTTCTCCGTCCTGATAAACTAACTCCCGGCAGTCTTATCGGGAGGCATACTTCTCCCTCATCCTCTGCAGTTGGTGGTGCAGTTTCATTCTCATTGTCATCATCGTCACCGTAGTCCCCATTAGCAATTCGACAGAGCCTGTTATCCTCCTCTGTTGTTAAAATGATGTCTGATCCATCGGAAGAAAAGTCGAGTACTCGGGTTAGAATGCACTTGGGGGAATTCCCATTACAGACATCACCGGAGGTGTATGTTAGTGAATCACTTGTTTGGTTTAGCCACTTTAGGGATACTCTTTGCTGCACAAAATTTCCACCATTCACTTCTATTTGTACATCCTCCAGAAGAACTGCTAGCCAGAAGGGTGAGATCTCTCTTCTACGGTTGTGTCTTACTGCCAATATGTCGTCTTTCTGGTAAATGGTTTGCACCCGTACAGCCGTACTCCGCAATGCCACATTAGCATCCACAACTTGGCAGGCTGTTGTTACGTCTTCGCTTTCCTCTAATGAGGCTGTGATGGTAGTGGGACACATACTAAGGGCATAAGGAAGGGTGCCAGTTAGCTCTTTCGTTTTTGAGCGGACATTTTCCTGTCTTACGCCTCTTCCATACTCCTTAGCAAATTCTCGCATCACAGTTTCTCGCCTTCTGTCTTCTTCTTTGCTACCTGTTCCTTCAGTGATTGCTGACAGCTTGTTTGGTCGCGTCTTGATGTTTGGGGGTTCACCTTTGATAATTTTCTCCGGATAATATGAATTGGGCCCAGTGAAATACGAGAAATCCTTCTGGTAAATGCGCAGCATATCGTCTTCCACGCAGCGCGCTCTTCTGTAAGCGTAGTTAGCCACTGTAGGCATGTCGTGGTCTGCTCGCATTCCTTTGAAATAGCATTCCACGCCCAAAGTTGTCATACTTTCGAAACAGATCCTTTCCAGAAGGTGACTATGCCCAATCTCCGTTAGCGTGTTGGTAAGGCTGGTCAGCGATTCTAGGACTATGAGGAAGGACTGTCGGGTGCATCGAGGTATGGTCATGTCGGGACCGTTGGTATTTCGCTTACCCGTCCTCTCCAGGGCTTCCTGTTCGTGGTTAGAGAGAAATGCAGCCAACTCCTCGACAGATTTCACATGATCTTTAAATGTACGTGGTAGGTCTTCTTCTTTGGCTTTCTTGTCGAGTCGGAACACGTTTGCATATTGGGCCATCTTACTTTGCAGGGGGATCAGTCCCTTTGCTGACGTCAACATTCTTATTGCTACGTTACCGGTATCGCATACGAAAACAGTGTTTCGATATACGCATAAGGCAGTAGGCTTGTTCCATCGACTTTGGACACCATCACGATGGCCTGCAGTTTCTCCACACACTTTTGTTAGGGTTTCTTTACCCCCAAGCATCTCTTCTTCCTTCAAACTGAACAGTGCGTGTTCTTTGCTGGAGGACAAGAACACGGTTCCACCATCTGTCACTGCAATACCCATGAGGCCTGGAATATTCGAAATTGTTCTCAGTTTCAATCGTCCTCTCACTTGACAAAGATGAATACATGAACCATTCCCGTCTCCAACTAACAAGTATTGCTCGTCACGTGTTAAGGCTAATGAAGTTAATAAACTAGATCGATCAAAACAAAACAATTCATTTAACTGGCCGACGCAGTTAGTTTCCTCATCGTCTACAACACCAGAAATTGAAAAAATCTTGCCAAGACCAACGTCTGACACAAACAGTTCAACGCTACCCTTTGCAGACGCACATATGGCAAATGGTGACACCAGATCCGGTACATTACCTTCAGAAATAAGGGAAAGATCGTGTACATGGACTTTACGGATACGTCTACCGACGCAATCTTCTTCCTCACTTTGGCTTTCTTCGGCGCTCCCTTGTACAATCTGGGAAGCGTGACAGAAAAGCGTTCGCAAATTGACTACTCTAACTCTTCCGTTTCCTTGGTCGCAAACGTACAGCTTCCCGCTCTCTTTCACCGCAATACCAGCTGGGTTTCTAAATCTGGCCTTGTTGCCATATCCATTAGTGTGCCCGGGCTCAACACCACCAGCGATTAATGTGACATTTGCTGGACAGTGCATGTCAACCATGAAGACTGCATGGAGACGTCTATCGGTAATAAACAGCCTGCTATGCTTTGGGGAGAATGCCAATCCTACCGGGTAGCTTAAAAGAGAGGCCCCGTTCTTTTTCCAGTGCTTGAATTCCAGTTCTGGAACTAATGTTGTGCTCACTCTTTCATCTGGAATGGAATCTTGAATCGCTTTCCGGTGAATCTCCACTGCTGTTTCTACATCCATCCGATCTTTGTTTCGAACTGCTTTCAATGAAACTGATTTCTTGATGTCTTCGTATTCTCTACGTAGCACCAAAAGCAGCCTTACATTCACTAGGTATCCATCAATGTCAATCCAATGCCAAAACTCTGCAGAACGTACTGACTTGATGTTGTGTGGGCAGTCAGGAATGGGGACTTGGTAGGGGTACTTCGCCCTGTCTGCTAGCATGGAATTCATAAAGCTCTTTTGCTTGGGATCGCAGTCAGTGGCCCAAACCAATAGGAACAGTCTTGTGCATACTTTATCTTCACTCATGCACAAACTACAAGGGCGAAGAAGTGGGTGCCATTCAGTGTAACCTGATGTGGCACAACTATCGCAAACGAACTTCTCACCAAAGCATTCCTCGCAATGAAACGTACACTCCACATCTGTCTTCAGGCAACTAGAACATCGCTGTGCCACGTCAGATATCTTGTGGTGCAATTGTTCAATGTAGTGTGCTCCTCCTTTGTTCCCGCAATAGAATATACCAATCGGAAAGTCTACTTTATTGTCCAAAGAGGCCACTCGCACCTCCCGCGCTTGGGTAACAAACTGACGTTCCTTTAGGAAAGTTAGGATTTCCGCATCTTCTTGTGATGACACAGCTGTAACATCTTCGTATGTAAGCTGTTCCGGCTCAACAAGTCCAATGATTGATCGGTACGTAGGGGAATACTCCAAAGCAGGCTTGAGTGCCATTTCGTCTGTGGAGATAGAGCAAGGATATCCACGAACTCGTTCATTTTGAATTGACAGACACTCCTTTTCCATGCACATTTCAATAGATAATTCCACATCTTCTTTGACAACACCACTTTTAAGGTGACCTGGAGGCGAGTTGCGGGTGACAGAGCGCGGATGGAGAAAGCTTAAGTTGTGTGTATCAACATATTCTTGAGGTGTCTGATGATGGTTTTTACCGCTGCCATGTTTACCACGACCAGAAAGAAGGTAAGATGCCACAGGCTTGCAATTAAACTGTATTGCACGTTGGAATCGAGTCAACGCTGGGTATAGGTTGGGCTGCAATTGTTCATCTACAAGTCCCAGAGCACTTGAGCAAAATGAATGTACCTGCTCGTAGAAAACATGATTGGTGGAAAGAATGCCAGACGCCGTAAGAAACGAAAACATTGCAGCCGCTTCATCGAGTTTTTCAAGGTCTAAATACAATTCAGTTTGGGCTTTTCTATCTTCCAGTTTCTTCTCTAGTCATAAATCTGATGCGTTCGAGGCATCCGTGGAGTCATCTGATTCTTCATCGGAACTGCTTGCAGTAGTAGTTTCCTCCGAGCTGTTCTCGTCATCGATTTCAACCTTTCCTTCTACACAGAGTGCGGTAAAATGTTTGTACAGAGGGTGTTCTTTACTCTTCACTGCTTCTAACGTCTGACGTTTTATTTCACCAGCGACCGCATCAAGAGAGGAAGGCTTCTTAACAACCTGTAGTAAGGACTCCATGAGTTCTCCTACTGCCTCCCCATTATCTTTCAGAATGTGGCATTCAGCTATCATTTCCTCTGCTTTGGACTTGACTTGCTGAGAAATAGCTGCCATAGCGAGAAAAAGTGAAGCTATTGACTGAGTTCCGGCCCTGGAGTCAATCTTTTGACATCTTTTAAAGTGCTTCCTGAAGTTATGTATGTTGTAAGGTTTTCCCAATTTCACAACCTTCTTGCAACCGATGCACTTTATCCCAGACTTGTCCAGGACTTCACCTTGAATTTCCTTTACGTTAAATTCTTTGTTCAATTTAATTTTCATCTTGTCAAGTTTTGATGCGGCAACATTCGACCGTGGCTCAGTAGTAAGTAGGTTGTAAAGGCCTTTTGCCTGTGTTGACGTGCCCTCTGGCAATTTCACGGTTACAGTAGGGGATACTTGCGGTTTCAGCTTTTCATTTACGTAAATTTTCAAGTAGTCCTGGTAGTTGTCAAAGTCTCTATAGCATTGCACAAAATAACTGCAGGCTTCCTTCAAATCTTCGTTTTTTAGGATTAGCATTCCTTCCTCCCCGTCAAAATAGGATAATTCAAGATAGTTAGAGGTTCCGAAGTAACTCTTAAATAATTCTATCGTAGTGGCCAGCAAAAGTTGATCCTTTTTAGCTGGGGTAAAGTGCCAGAGTCGCTTTCGCTCCAGTGGGTATTTGCCACTGACGTCTGGTGGATTCATGAAGAGCTTTATTCTAAGGGTACTTGGGATGTTATCTTCAAGTACTGCAGAAAAGAACAGTTTGTTTGTCTAAATGTTTTGGTTCAGGGGCATATGCATCAGATCTGATCGACAAAATGAATGAGGTCATTATCAACATCTTCAAATTTATTTAAAAAAAGAGCCAATAAGTGCAATAGCGGACACGGATTTGTACGTGATTTAAACTACGCGACACAAACGTCTTGAGCAAGTCTAATATAAAAAATCAGATAGAAACAAACAGACCGAGTGTTAAAAGACATAGAAGTAAGAGCCCTGCAAATTACGAAACCGTGGGTACAGTTTGAAATTCCCTCAATGTTAGTCACGTTTGTTTAATTGAAAACAAGTTATATTACCTGGTACAATCCGGTATTTGGGTTCTGGGAGTGACGGAGATGTGAAGGAGTCAGTTGGTAAATTTCCTGAATTCTTGTGCGAGGTAACTGTCATCTCTAAAGTAGCAATTTTAAACACATATTTGGAATAGGTTTTCCTATTGGTTGTAACTAGTTACTTGAAAATATATTGTTTTATACAGATCGATACAGAGCTTTGTGTCGGTCATTTGTTGTCTTGAGTTGTCTTTACTACAGTAACGTTTCGACTGAAACTTTAGTTGTGGAAGATCAAACCAATTGTAAAACATCCCCGAGGCAAGTTAAAGGAAACGCCTTCTTTTCTCTTAGTCACTAAGGCTACGTTTGTCAAATCATAGTGTAGACGTTTTTGTCCGAGTTATTTGGGAAGTAAATACTAACTTGGCGTTTTGGGTAAAAAACAGGCATGACTTAACTTAACAACGAGCTGTCAGCGTGAAAATGTCATTACGCAGTAACTAAAAATTAAGGGAGGCAAATCATGTGCAATTTTCTTTCACAAATAAGTATTAAATAATTAATAACAATTTTTGTGGAATTTACAGTCGGTAGACTAACGACGCATTGATTAATACAGATTAAAACCACTTACTTTTGTTCTCAATAAATGAGTCCATGGTCCGCTGGCTGCTCGTTGAAGGGTTGCGGTAACTTAGGGAAGGAGACAAACAAAATATTAGGAAATGCAACTGTTGTTGTTACAGATAGGATATAATTATTGAGTTACACTATAATGAAATATCACTCTTAACCCACCTAGGTACTCGTGCGATCGGAGATCTTGATCGGCTTCGGGATGGTGATCGTTCCACAAGTGTCGATTGTTCATCAAACACCCTGCAAGAAGAGGGGGAGATCTTGATCGATCTTGAATTAAAGGGGCTTAATGTCCACATCATGAACACTTTTTTGACTTTTTGTATCACTCTAAAAATCTTTCTCGAAGGAAACCTTAAGACAGTGATCCAACTGGTAGGAAGTAGTTTTCGAGATTTAGGTGTTACAGTACGTGGTAAAAAATATCTCATTTTGTTAACCTACCTCGATGCTCTTGCGATCGGAGATCTTGATCGCCATCTTGGGGATGCTGGTCCCTCTGATTTTTCATCAAACAGCCTGCAGGAAAAAAAGGAGCTATTAAAGGGGCGACCATCCACCCTTCCACTGACCCATGGAAAGTGGATCTTTTCGAAACTTTTAAAAACAGATAAATTAATCCGTATCAATTGATATTAAAACCTGATTACCACTAGAACCACTAACACAAGTTAAAATTTCTTAAAAACGTTGTGTTACCTCGTAGGTGGAGTTCTTGAACGGGAAGGCCTTCTTCTTTTTGTATGTTTATCTTTCTTCTGGTGTCTGCAATCACCAAAGCAATTGGATGGCGTTAGCTATTTTAAAGATGTTAATTGAAGGATGTTTTATGAAAACATGAAAGGCCCCTAAGAACACTCGACTGCCTAAAAAAGTGAGGTGTGGAGAGGTTTTGAATCAGTGAAAGGTTCCGGCAATTCTGCTTTTTTACAAAAAGATCAACTCTGCTACTTGAAAAGAGCAGAAAAATTAACTTTCTGCATTTATTTTTTATAGAACAACATGCAAAATTGTTACCTTTTTCGTTAATGCTAGTCGATCAGGTGAAAAGTTTAAAAAAGGTACCTTTTTAGAAAAGAAGGCGGGTATTTTAAGCTTTCGGGTGAAAATATTTTAACGTCAATATTGTACGCTTTTCATCCATTTCTCACTTTACCAAACAAAATTTTAAAGCGCGAAGAAGGTACCTTTTTTTCAGTTTGAAGCGAACTCTTCAAAAGCGCGAAAAAGGTACCTTTTTTGCGGTTTAGAAAAGCTCCTATCAAAAGAGCAAAAAAGGTACCTTTCTTGCGGTTGGAAGCGATGTTCTCATAAGTGCGAAAAAGGGACCTTAAAAATAAATTAAATGGCGTTTTAAAACTATATTTGAAAGCCGTTTCAAATCCTACTGATTGACAGATGTCAACCGTTTGGCGCCATTTGTTTTGCTTGAATTGACTGACCCACTAGTCAAGAGACAAATATGGCGGAATATATGGAAAGCAATGTTACTCTAACAAGGAATCTCATTGAACACAATTAAACGTACAAACATGTCAGTGAAATTCTCAGACAAAACTTTCCAGAAGTAACAAGAGGCTTTTCAGAAAGAAACGTGCGATTGTTTTGTGCTAAATGTGGGATAAGACGACTGAACGAATACGAAGTGGATTCCAACGTTCAGAAATGAAAAAAGGCACCCACGAAACAAAACAGTTATTATGATAACCCGCTCAGTTTAGACTTAAAAGAAAAAAAAAAACACTTCTCTGCTGTTTGTCGTAGATCGACGTAGAATCTGATATATTTTTTTCGCAGATTAAAATGGTTCGCTCCACGCTTAAAATGGGCCGGCTTGCTTAGGTCCTCCACATGCATCTAGTTTGAAAAAACTAGTAGCTATTTCATCCATTTAGATGGTAGCCATGGCCAGTATTTTCGGATCTCTTCAGTCTAGTTTCTCAATTTTGATGGGCTAATAGGAGCCAGCTATTTTTTTTAGTCCAATGATTACTCATAGTAGACCCTCGTCCACGTACGTAGCTCGGAAAATATGCCAATAATTTAGGACGCGATAATTATAATATTGCGCGTCCGAGCCATTTCTAATAAATAGCCGGGGCCACTGAGGAATAGCCTCCCATACAGGTGTTTCTAGGGCAGTCTAGGATGGGTTTTGTAGAAACGGGACACAGAGTCCCCTAAAAACGTCTGTGTATGGTTCGTTAGGGGCGCCAACGGTTGCTTGACATCTGTCAATCAGTAGGATTTTAATTGAAACATGATTTATTTTTAAAGGTACCTTTTTCGCGCTTTTGATGAGATTGCTTATAACCCCGAAAAAGGTGCCTTTTTTGCTCTTTTGATAGGAACGTTTCTAAACCGCAAAAAAGGTACCTTTTTCGCGCTTTTGAAGAGATCGCTTCAAACTGAAAAAAGGTACCTTTTTCGCGCTTGAAAGTTTTGTTTGGTAAAGTGAGAAATGGATGAAAAGCGGACAATATTGACGTTAAAATATTTTCACCCCAAAGCTTAAAATGCCTGCCCTTTTTTCCTAAAAAAGTACTTTTTTTTAACTTTTCACCTGATCGACTAGCATTAACAAAAAAGGTAACAATTTTGCATGTTGTTCTATGAATAATAAATGCAGAAAGTTAATTTTTCTGCTCTTTTCAAGTAGCGGAGTTGATCTTTTTGTAAAAAAGCAGAATTGCCGGAACCTTTCACTGATTGTTTTGGCCACGAAATCTTGGTTCGTGTAGAAAAACACGTTTTTGCGGAGCCGGGAACGATGTGAAGATGTCTGCAATTGAAATTCAGTTGACAAGTTCCTCAGACCTTTTCAAGCAATTTCCGGAGCTCTACGGTGAAGTAAATTCGATAATTTACTTTGGATTCACTTTGGTATGTTCGTTTCATTGATCAAATGCTCTATTTAATTAGCATGTCTGTAAATGGTATGGAAACGCTGTCACCTTCGAATATAATTTTGATCACAGAAACGCTTCAGTAAGTGTTCGCACAACCACCGCTTTTTGAGCAGAAAACACGAATAGAACAAACAACGACAACTCCACAGACCTTGAACTTTTCTTTTCTTTCTCCGCTTTTCTCTCTTTCTTTCTTGGACTCCTGTACATAAATTTGCAAGATAGTTAGCTCATAATTCTGAACATGATAGAAACAGACAGATATAGCTGCTCGAAGTTTTAGATTACTGTTTCACACATTCTGATCTATTCAAAACCACGCCGCCAAAACATTTCCATCACAAAGTCACAAACACCGAATTTATAGACGTACGTACCTTTCCGACTCATGCTTTTTCTTGTGCTTCACCATGCTGACAAAGATTGATAACGATCGATTGAGAAAAAAATTCAAAGTGATCTCTCGAGATGTCTGATTTCGACTGATTGAATCTGGACTGAATGAAAGACACCACGTCGACACCACGTGCAGCATGTCATTCTTTGAGTGACACTGATGACATGTGCCTGAAAGAAGCCAGTAACTGCAACCACCCCGACTACTGATACTACGGCCAAGAATAAGGATACTTTATATTATTATTCTTTTGACGTTACCTGAAATCCAAAAATTAGTTCCAATTGCGCCCAAACAGGAAAAGAATCTAAACCTCCGATTCCAAAAGCGCAACGGGGAAAAAGGTCGAAAGGCCCGGTCGAAAGGGTGTCTTATAAAGAGCTCGAAAGAGCGATAATACACAGTAATATGAATCACTCCCTGGGATTCTGTCACGTCATTATAATGTGACCATTGTTTCAAATTGATACCCGATACGTCACAATGACAAGGGATGTTCCTGCGAGTGAAACACGCGTGAACATGCCTGTTGCGCGTCCTTGCGACATGAGATTTTCACGCAACAGTTCTTCTGAAACAGTCGCTAAAGGAAAAGAAGAGGCCCTGGAACCATCACAACAGAGTGGATTCCAGCAACCTGGATTCTGGATTACAATGCTTGGATTCCGGATTCCATTAGCTGGATTCCGGATTCCAAAGCCGTGGATTCCGGATTCCACAGACCAAAATTACCTGGATTCCGGATTCCGGATTACCTTACATGGGGCGATTGATAGTATAGGTGTTATTAAAAAGTTAGCGTCAGTACGGGCAAGGTTAATTATCCGTAGATCTCCGTCAACCACCCTTAATTAAAGCTCGATGATAGTGCTTTTAACCCTTTAAATCCGTCAGATAAAAGTGACGGGTTGGTAAAAAGACGATCTTAAATCAACAGACTTGAAAATTGTTTATGTTAATAATCCTAATGTTCTTGTTTCGCAGCACGGTTTGAGCTGATTATAACCCCATTTGTGTGCGTCTGAAAAGAAAAGAGTGCGCGGTCAAAACAACCTTTTATATGAGTAGCGGTGGTGGAGATATATTATCAACAATAAAAACATTTACGCAAATAGATTAATGAAATCCTATTCCCAAACGCAAGAATTTCCGACCGCTGTAAAACTGTCTTAACTTTAAAGTCATTTTTAAAAAGATTTAACCAACTATCGCTTGCAATCATAATGGCGGTGAGAAACAAACAATACCTTATTCTATATTCTTCTACCATAGAGCACGTTTGTTAGTGAAAAGGAATGGTGATTGAGATTTTTTGGATGACCAATTGCAGAGGAAAGCGAAACCGGCTAAGCTGCTAGATTGACCGGAGTGTTATAAAAAGAAAACAATTAATAAAAACTCTTAATAGTGACACTGTGTTATGACACAGATGACATGATACTCGTGTGCCAGGCTTTATTGATTACCACTGCAGAACACGGATTCTTTTGTGAAAGCTTAAAGTTATTATGCTTTCTGCTCGATGGTGGGTTATTTTTATAAATATCACGTAATATCCTAAATACGTGACAACGTCAAACGGCGTTCCACAGTGTCTGCTCATTGGAGCCAAACGGAATCGTGAACTGCCACGTTGTATGGTCTCAGTGATCGGACCTGAATAGTGTATATTCGCAAACCAAGTTTGAGTTTGAGGGGGTGGTTGGGGGCTATAACCGGGTAAAAACAAAGGCAAAAAAAAAAAAGATATCTCAAAACACTGACTACACTGCAGAACGGATAAAAATCCTTTAAGAATTTACTCGGTTTATAAGCTTCAAAGCGTGGTAAAAAATTGAATTCATTTCCAGACATGCTAGAGGAGGCTGGATCTATTTTTTTATTACTGGTTGATGGGCCACTAACTACGGGAGGCTTTTAAGCGTTACTTAGCCTGAGAGCCAGGGGCTCTGGGGGTGGGGGACGGAAGAAAAGAGGTTATAATTAGGAACATATTATTGAGTAATTTGTGCCATGAAGTGGGTCATCTTTACGCTTATTTAAACAAGTGGAAATTTAGGAACTCGCATTGTTTTTTATTTATTTAGTTATGGTCAGTTTCTTAACGGATCTGCCTGTAAACAAAGCAGCCTTTCCATTTAGATAAAAATCACCAGTTCATGGAAAAAGACCGCTACAGTGGAACCTCGATTTAACGAGTAATCGGTACAACAAGCGACATTCCTTGCCCCAATAATAATAATAATAATAATAATAAAATATACGAAAAAGAACTTAGTTACAACGAAACTCCTTAATTAATATAGCGAACACTTCATGTCAATCCATTGGTCGGTTCCCTACTCAACTACCTTTGTCAAAGTGTTTGTTCCGCAATCAACATCTCGGATTTTCCGCGTTGCACACGAACGTGAATGAAAGCCTTAAAGCATATAATTATTCTTCATTCTGACGA